TTCTTTTATCAAGTTGTAAGATTGGGGTGGGTGGGTGTGATTTTTCCTGCATGGAAAAATTCATGCACATTTTAAATGCCTTGTCCTAATGAGCATCTACAGTATGTTTACACATTTTATCTAATTTATGCATTCCCCCTCCTTGGCTACAGCATGTTTTTACATTTTGTTTTCCCTAATTGTGCCCAAGGTTCATCAATTTGAATTTTAAAAATTTGTATGTATGCTGATGTGTTTGTTTGTTTTAAAGATTTCAGTTTCTCCAAACACTCCATAAGCCTCAAAAAGAGGTGAAGGTCTTGCAGTGTAATCCAAGGTCTGGGAAAAGACCATTGAACCCCAAAAAATTTCTCCATCCCTGGAAATGAAATAGAGCAGCATTTCACTTTTAACTTCCATTTTTAACATGAATGCTTCAAAGTCTGATAGCAATTGGTTAGCTTATCGTCTGAAAAAAAGGAGTCAGTATTCATTCCTTTAAGTCAACATAGAAATTACTTGATTGTCATTATAATATATAACTATACAAGGTATTGTAACATGGAAAATCAGATGATGCTTATTTTTAAAGAATCAGGTGGACAAGTAAGATAAGGCCTAGTTTTCCCTTCTTTATTCTGCTAATAAACATAACTATAATCTATTTCATTGACAGTAAGGATACCAGTGGTGATATGGGTACAGTGATGGACTAGGATTCAGGGGGCCTGGGTTCAAATCCCCGTTCAGTGATGGAAACTCATGATTTTGTCATGTGGAACTGCTAAAGCCACTCCTTAACTGTCTCACTTACCATGAAAGACCTATTAGGGTCAGTATAAGTCGGTTCTGAGTTAACAGCTTATAACAGAAAATAATTTGGTGGTTGGTTTTGATAGATGGCTCTACTGCTTTTTAAAAACTCTTCTGGTTTTAAAATGTGCAAGAGCCCATATAAAATATTTCCCCTGCCCATATCCCCTAAGGGTACTACAGCTCCTCTTTGGGAAAACTGCCCACTGTACAATTAATAAAGCCTCTGCTCACGGCCTGAAGTGGATCCCTATGGGCTCAGTTCAAGGTTAACTCAGTTTTTTATACTTCTAAAGTCAGTAAACTGAGTACCTGATCATGGGGGGGGGGTACATAATTGTAAACTGCCCAGAGAGTGCTTTAATTGCTATGGAGTGGTTTATAAGCAGCATATTTTGCTTTGATCTCACTAATTCCCTCTTCCCACATCTGCACGCTCCTATTCCAGCTTGACCCGAGGCCATCCATAGCTTCTCCTTATATATGGGTTGATAAGTTAATGTGGACATTAGTGATTAATGCAGGAATTGGAACAGACGTGTAGACAGTGACACGGGTAGGGAACTGTATTTATTAGTTAGTTTTGATTATGATCCCACTGCTTCCTTCCTTTCCGTCTATGAACTCTCCTTTGCTTCACTGTAACCTCACAACAGATCTGTGAGGTCAATCAGGCTGAAGGAGAGCAGCAGGTCCAAGGTCACCCACTGAATTTCACAGCTCAGAAGGGACAAGAAATTAGATTTCCCAAATCCCCGGCAAGCATTCTAAGCTTTACACTGCATGGTCTGTCACTGATTCTTACATTTCTCTTCTGGTTTCATCAAATCCTTCACATGAACTCCCCTGATTTCAGCACTGTGATAAATCAATTTAATCCTCTGATTTAATCCTGTGATTATATTATGCAATCATTCCCGCTGATCCTCCTCCCAAGTCCAGAAGCTACTCCCTTTTGTTCTTCTGTTCTATGTCTGCAATGCTTCCCCCTAGTATGTGTATAGTTTAATGAAAGTTTATCTTAGTACATTTAAGGGATTAAAGACCTAGCTAAGGAAAATAGAACAATTAGTCTGGTAATTAAAAATATAACTGGTGAAGGAAACTTTTTTCCCCAGTAATTCAGCAGTATAATTGATATTGATTGCCCTGGTTTGTTAGAAAGCCAGAATGGAATCCCGTCGCTATAAGTTGAGGTAGCAAAGCGTGTGAAACAAGGAATAATGAATCTCAGAAAAATAACTGGACTCTAGATCAGCCTTCCTTTGAGAACAAAAAGCACACACAGAAAGAAACCAAGCACAGAGGGACTGGCAGGGGTTAAAAGAGATCGAAGCAACTCACACAGTGTCAGATCACATAGGATGTGACTGCACAGTAGCAAATGCACACTTGGTTCCACTATGATCTGCATTTTTTTTTCAAAAATCAGGTTTTCATGGGTGAAATTGATTTAGCTATCCAGACATCAAACAACTCGCAGGAATCGGCAGAGGCAGAGAGCTGTGTTTGCACAGCAGAAGCTGCCTTCAAAAGGATGCTAATTGTCAATTTCCATCTCTTTCTAAAATTTACTTTTCTTGAGGTGATCTAGTGAACCAATATTCCAGAATTGCCTTGAAATCTTTTAAAAAACAAAAACAAAAAAAACACAAAGTAACAACATTCTGCGGACAACAAGAACTCATTTATTTATTTATTGAATTTATATCCTGCACCATCTGGCAACCAGGCCACTCTGGGCGGCTAACAGCAGTATTAGGAACAATAATAAAACACGATAAAAATGAATTAATACATAATAAATAGAGAAATTAAAACAGATGGCAATAAAGGTGGTAAAAAGGGTGATGGAGAGGATGGCAAAAAGAATGGTAAAAAGGGAGGGTGAGATCTTAGTGCTCTGGGGAAGCCTGGAGGAAGAGCCAGGTCTTCAGTGCTCTTTTGAACCTATCCAGTGAGGGTGCCAGACAAATCTCAATAGGCAGGTTATTCCATATGTGGGGGGTGACTGCCAAGAAGGCCCAGTCTCTTGTTCTTTCTCTCTGGGCCTCCTTGGGGGTCAAGGCCCTCAAATGCCCTGCCTATGAAGAATGGGTATTATGGACAGATCTGGCTGGGAGCAGACATTCTAATAGATACCGAGGTCCTAAACTGATTAGAGTTTTGAATGTTATCATCATAACCTTGAAGTCGATGTGGAAACGAACCAGTAACCAATGAAGGGCGGTCAGAGCGAGGGACATGTGCTGGAATTTCTTCACTCCAGTTATTAATCTGGCCGCTGAAATCTGGGCCAGTTGAAGTCTCCTCATCAGCCTCAAGAGTAGCTTCACGTAGAGAGCACTGCAGTAGTCCATTCTGGAGATTACAAGGGCATGAATCAGAGTCATGAGTGCCCCCACATCTAGATAGGACAATCCTCCAAAGATGGAAATGAGCTGCCCAGACCACAGATGCCACCTGGGTTTCCATGGTGAGATCCACGCAGATGCCCAAGCTGTGAACCTCACTCTTCATTGGAAAAGTCATGCCCCCAAAGGAGAGGGAGTTTCCCAATCCACTGACGCCGGGGCTGCCCACGTGCAAGATTTCCATCTTGTCTGGATTCAACCTCAGTCCATTTGCCCTCATCCACTACAGAGTGGTCCCCAAGCAGCGTTCAAGGGTCAGAACAGCATCCACTGCAGTAGGAAAAAAGGAGAGGTAGAGCTGGGTGTCATCAGTGTACCAACGACACAGGGCCCCACAACTCCAGGTGACCTCACCCAGTGGTCTCATATAGATATTAAATAGCATTGGTGAGATGATTGACCCCTGCGGAACCCCACAGTTGAGCATCCACGGGGTGGAAGTCATCTCGCCAAGCTGCACTTTCTGGAGACGGTCCTTCAAGAAGGAATGGAGCCATGCCAAAGCAAGACCACAGATTCCTAACTCAGAGAGCCACCCCAGGAAGATACCGTGGTCAACGGTATCAAAGACTGCTGAGATATCAAGGAGGACCAACAAGGACATATTGCCCCTGTCAGCCTCCCTCAGGAGGTCATCCTGCAGGGTGACCAATGCTGTTTCTGTACCATGCCATGGCCTGAAGCCCAACTGGAATGGATCAAGGGCATCGGTTTCCTCCAGGAGGGCCTGGAGCTGATAGGCCACCACCCTCTTGACCACTTTACTCACGAAAGAAACATGGGCGACAGGCCTATAATTCCCAATTTCGTCAGCCGCCAAATTAGGTTTTTTTCTAATGGGCCTAATGAGTGTCTCCTTGAGGGCCGGGGGGGCCATGCCCTCTTGGAGAAACCCATTAATTATTGTGGTGGCCCATTCTGTTCCTTTCAACTCAGTTGAAGGGAAAAGACAGATTTGTGAGTGCCCCTTTGCCTTCAGATCACACTGGGCAGAAAGCAACTTCAACCCAATCGGAGCATATGTAGTCCAGGCTAGGAGTGCTTAATCTATGATAGAGATTGATAACTACATTCCAGAGTAGCCTCTTTTCTCCCCTACAGTGCAACTCTGGTTGTGCAATGGTTAGGACCTCTTATTACACTTATGTGTCTTGTGCTTCTGTGAAAAGGGTGATGGGTCTTTCTTTCTCCTCCTCCACCTGTGGCTGTTGCAAAAAGAGGGATAGCAGTCTCTCCTTGCTCCCCTTCCTGAGAATGGAGTGAATGTTTTTGTAGCAGTATTCCAAGCACCTGGTAACCTAGGGCTGGTGGCTTTCCCAAAGGCCCTGTTATCCCTACAAAAGAACAATCTCTATAGATGCCATGTAAGGAGGCTAGAGAGGAACTCAGGTTGGGGAAATGAAAATGTTAAATTTGAATGTAGAATTTTCAGAGGGAAAAAAATTAAAATGTCCTTAATATTGCTCGTAATTACAGGCTTGATTTCTACTTGAACATGGGACTTTGACTATTCTACCCCTAGTATCTTCCAGAACCTGAGTGTGTTTTAGAATCAAGCTTCAAGCATGGGTGGCAATGCAAAAGTTTTCCTCTGGTGTGTCATCCTTGATCATGGAGAGCATAATAATTAGATAATACCTTTGTTCTGTAGGTTTTGGGGTCTGTCTCGGGTTTTTTAAAAGTAAAAATAAAGAGGAACTGGCACCATGAACTGCACATGCACAAGCCAGATCTTTTGTTTTGTTTTCCCTTTTATTTTAAGACTAAGTGTTAAATTTGTTTCTTCTCCCAAAGCTCAGTTTTGGAGGCATCCCAGTTCCAGGAAAACCAGGAACTTTTCTGAAGAAAAATTTCCATGGGTGCATTGAGAACCTTTATTACAATGGAGTCAATATCATCGATCTGGCAAAAAGGCGGAAGCCACAAATCTACATTGTGGTAAGCCCGCACTCCCTCTTTCCTTCACGGACTTGTTCTTTTTCTTGATATTGTTGCTCTTGACAGATACTACTCACCCTCTAGGCGAAAAGCTCTTCCATTAGACAAGTCAGGCACATAATCGTTCTCTTTAAAGAATATTCTTCAAGGCTAAAAGGCACTGAAAAATGCAGGTGTATCTTTGAGAGCTACAGGGTTTGTGCTTAAAATAGGCCGTAGAAAGAAGGAACTGAAGAGAGTTGACATAGAGGGGAAATATTTAAACTCATTATGAATGTAAAAAGCCCAAACTCTGGAACACATATTCAGATCCATGGAGGTCGATTCCCTACCCCCCAGAATTGGCTGGTCCACTCACAGTTCACAGCGCAGCTCCGTTGTTATTGTTGCACCAATTGTAGAAAGAGCCCAGCTGGCTCTTCCCCGCCTCCCCGTGCAGTCAATCACTGCAACACAGAGGCAGGTTGAGGAGTATCTCAGCTCAGCCAATGAGTGGTTGGCTTCATGGGGAGGTGGGAAGATCCATCTGGGCTCCTTCCACGATTGGTTTGACAATGATGATAACAGAGCCAAGAGAATGGTCAGTTCTGTGGGAGAAGGGCATGGGCCTCTGTGGCATTTGTGGTGCTGCTATTTGTATTTGTATTCCCAGGGTACCAATATGAATGACCCATGTCTAGTGTAGACTTAATTCTCATCCGCTTTGGTTTATACTGTTGTTGTTAAACCCAAAATTACCTATCTAAATGACAAGCTATATAATGGTTCAAAATTCATAAAGAAATTCCATATTGCACTGTTTCTTATGGCAGGCTTGTGGCATGCATTACTTATTACTTCATTGGTAGGAAACTCATGAAACTGTTGACTTTGGAGAACCATTGACATATCCATTCCCTAGTACATTAGGAAAGAACAATTCCTACTAGAGGGTGCATATTTGTATTTTTGGAATACTACTCCCAGAATTCTCTAGGCAGGATAGCCCCTGGATATTCACCACCCCTATCAGGATATGAGTCCAGATGCAATATTTGTGAAGTCACCATTTTGAAGTTGGAAATGCTTTGGCTACTTTGCAGTTTGAACTTTCTCAGTGTGAAAACCGAATGCAACGTAATGCAAGAGAGAGTCCTATTATTGTTTGGTTGACATCATGAAAAAAGGGGGGAAACTGTGTATGTAATCAGAAAAATAGGCACGCAGGCCTGGAAGGATTCCAGTTCCATCAAACTTCCTGTGAAGAACAAGGTTATGCTTCTACCGGATTGTGTGTATCTATTTTGGCCTGATTCAACCATTCTGTTTCTATGAATAGCAGATTATTAAAGGGAGGGAACAAGGACAACCACCCTAACTGCTCTTACTGCTGTCCCCTTCCTCTTATCTGTTTCTATGAATAGCAGATTATTAAAGAGAGGGAACAAGGACAAGCACCCTAACCCCACTGCTCTTACTGCTGTCCCCTTCCTCTTCCATGGGAAGCAGAGATACCTTTTGAAGCAAGAATCTTTTCTATTCATGTAGATTCTCCAGCTGATGACAACCCTGGTTTTCCAGATTCCTACAGTATGTGGAAATCCTCCACAAACAGATGAGCATCCCACTGCAAGCGTGTGGCTATAACTTGTGAAAGTTCTGTGTCCACATTCTTTCCACTTGTATTTTAAACATTCCACAGATTAGAATGCTACATTTTTAAAAAAATAACTTTTAAACTGTCTAGTTTTTAAAAATGTTCCCCTTTGTGATTACTGTAAGAATAACGTTTTAAATTACTTAGTGCTATGTTACTTCTTTGGATACTTCTAAAATATTAATTAAATAACTTGTTAGCTAGATAGCTTAGGTATATGGCTGCAGAGCCACAGTTTGGGATTTTGATTCCCCACTATGCCTCCTGGGAGAAAAGCCAGCCTACACAGTCCCTGGGAACCCTCAAAAGAAGGAAATAATAAGCTACATTTGTGTTTTCTCTACCTAGGAAATCCTGAAAAGGGTTGTCATAAGTCAGAATCCACTTGACAGCATACAATTATTATTATTATAATTAAACCATTAATTTAAGAAAATGCATTTTAAAAAGAAAAGTTACCCAAAACAACACCAGGGCAATGTTACAGGAGTACAACATTTTGAAAAATTATAACCTATTGCTTTAAAATGGCCGAATTCTTGTGCAGCTCCACAGGTGCAAGGCTGATGATGTCATCAACTGTGGCCTTTTAGAGCTAATTAAAAGTTTCCACCTCCCCTCCACCACTTCCAAGCCTCCCTAAGGATACCTTTCATCCTGAGGAAGACTTTGGGGCTCTGGGCATAGGAGTCTTTAATCATCATTGGCAGTCCCAGTTTCTGGAGAGAGGAATTGGAACCTTTTAATTAGCAATAAAACGCCACTGATGATGACATAATCAACCATACATGAGCAGAGCTGTACCACTAGGGTGGCTAGTTCCAGGGCCAGCAAACAGAGGCTTCAGGGGAAGTAGGTTTTTCTGGTGACAGTGTGGCACACACCCTTCAATTTATCTGTTGGTTATTCCTAGATTGTGTTTTATGAAGAAGCTAGTTAACATTAGTGGATGTCTTCTCACAGCTTTCTCCCTGCTGTCTCTTCAAAGATGTCTACATATCCAAAGATTCACTGCTATGTTCTATGGTCTCTTTTTAAGTTCTGACTAAATATAACCATGTATACATGAATGAAATCAGGGTATTTATGTGGTTCTGGGGTGACCATGGGCTACAACAAAGAACCTAGGGGCATTAATGGGGTGGAACAGCATTCTTATGGATTTGTGTTTTAAATCTCACTTTCACACATTATGATTGGAAGTGAGGAAAGAGAAAGATAAACTCAAAATGAAAGAGACTATGTTCTTTACCTTAGAAATGAACCAGCCTTTCCTTTTCTGCCCCACTGTCATAAATCATCAAAGTCTATATTGTGGTGGTGGCGCTATTCACCTTTCAAATCCCGGAAACAGGAGAGTTTGGTGAAAGAGACAAGAGAGAGAAGGTGTGGGAAACCAGGTTGCCTTTGTTGTCTTTGTAAGGGTGACTCAAAGAATACCATGCCCATTGGCCTTTTGAAGTCTGCTACACCTTGGCTGCCTTATAGGGCTCTCTCATACCAGCAGGGGAAAAAGTGGGGGAAATACAAGTGAAACAGAAATTGAGCTGCAGATTGACACCAGTGCCATTCTGCTGTGTCTGCACCATTTAATCCAAGACATGAATCTGTAAACTTGATTTCAGTCATTAAGTACCACAAGGAGCCTCAGCTGATGATGAGATTAATACCAAAATGAAAAGGATTTTATTTTTATTTTTTTTAACGAGCAGGTGTGTGTTTCTCTCTCATATGAGCTTGAGGCTTTAGTGTCAGATGGCTATGACAATTCAAAATAACAGTGGTCATGGTGGCAATGAAATTAACTGTCTTGGGAAATAAACACACCATGGTAGCATCAACAGAATAAGGAAAAATTACAAGGGGAAGGTGAACGGGGGATAATAACTTATTCTTTTTCTGTGAATTTTAAACACCTTGCACAAGCAAAGTGTTTTCAACTACCTTTGGTATTGCTGCTTATATGTTAAATTCTCCTGTTTCAAAGACTGAGTACCTTTCATCTTAATAGCCTATTATTATCAAAGCAAATCAAATGGATTGTAGTGTGCAAACTTTGCAGCAGAAAGAAACCTCTCCTTTTTGGCTGTTAAAATGCTGGTTTCTATTTTTGTTTTTTATCTTTTCTTTAAAGGTATTCTGTAGAATATTAACAGAATGAGTTGGGGATAAGATTCCAAAGGTGTACAATTGTCCCTGCTGCAGGAGGAATTGTATTTCTAAATTCTCGCTGGTATGAAACATCAGAGAGAGAAATGAGCTGTGATACAATTTTTATCCATATTATATTACTATTTGCACAGGGCTTTTTATTATTAAAGTTGAAGCATTCAAAATCTGCATCTTTCACCTTTGATTTTTAGGGCTACAATATGTTCCTCTACCTCATTATTGGCAACATTCACAGACCGGCCCTCAATGAGATATTTTAGGTGAACTTAAGGGCTTGAGAATTCCTTGTAGGAACTTAAGCATAGACCTCAATGTCATATCACAAAATGTGATAACAAATAGAATTCTCTTCTGTTTCAAAAAGAACCTTGCAACAATGGTTGAATTGGGGAAGGGAAGAACATGATGCCAAGCTACCTTTGTCTGTATGTAGCACTGTAAGTTGAATAATTTATAGGGCCATTATAACTGAACATCTCATGGTATCAGGCTCACAAACAAAGCTAGATACTGTTTGCTGGCACACTGTATTACAGGGAACTAAGAATCCTCTGATGAAAAATGAGAAGTCTTTGAAGCAGCATTAGCACACCTGCAAAGAAAAGAGATCCATAGGTCATATAATAGGGAGGTCTAAGTCCAGTCTAAACTAGTACAGACTCACTAAATCAAACTTACAAAAGTGTTCATTTACTAATTTCCCACTGACTCTAACTTCCAATTGAAATTAAAACTTATTGGTCATCAGGTTCAGTCTACTACATCATACTAGACTGCAGTGAAGCAATAATACTTTCCTAGTCTTGTTATGAGGATGCAATATCCTAAAGTTTGGATTTTTTTTTGCTTCACAGCTTATTTGTTTATTACATTTTGATCACATCCAGTGAACTCAAGGTGGTTCTATGGTTCCCTTCTTTATGCTCAGAACAACCCGCTGAGGTGGGTTGAAGAAAATAACTAATCCAAGGTTGCTCATTGATGCCTGGTTGGCCAGGTCTACACCAAGAAGGGGTTTGGACCCATATCCTCCAAATTCTGGCCCAGGATTCTCCACACTATGCCACATTGGTTGGGAATTTTGAGATTCTTGGGTTACATAAAGCCCATTTTTAATTTTAAAAAGCTATTTTTGGGAGGGCAAAATAAGTGAGAGTTGTACCTCCAGAAGACTCATTTTCCTCCTAGGTAT